TCCATGAGATTCCCATCCCACAAGTACATTTCGTGCTTCTCTGGACAGCATTAGAGCAACTCCCTGAGTGTGTGGCGCATTTTCCCCTTCGTGACCGGAGTACAGCAGCATCTCTCCTGTACCTAGCCTTTGTTGTCCAGTTTGTGTCCAATGGGTTTCGCTGATTCCGAGTACTGCCAAGTTGTATCTCCTCATTTCCATTGCTATTTGGCTGGTCTTTCCTGTTTCCCACATTGTCCGGACGTTCCATGTACCTATAAAGAGTGTTGATCTGGTTGTTAGAAGGTGCATCGGTCTCGTGACTTCCGAAGAATTTCGGCTTTCATCATGAGACGTCATTATTCCTTCAACTCCCAGGGCAGAGTTTAAATGGTTTGGATTATTTTTTCTGGTTAGCGTTTTTTTAGCGAGTTAGCTTTTCTACGGGATGGGGTCGCTAACCCCATGCCCAACCCTCCTCCTTTACCCGGGCTTGGGACCGGCAGTAACTCTAGAAGAGCTAAAGGCAGAGTTATATAAATTACATAGAATATAATAAATTAAGTTAACTAATCAATAAACGTACAGTTCTTGCAAGTTCTTTCAATAACTCCTTTCTTCTTAACCATTTAGCTTCTTCTGAAGTATCTAGAAAAGAAGTTTAAGAATATATATATAAGTCATTCGATTTGTGTGAGGTTTGGTATACTATCTGGTTGTCCGAACTAAACCAGATGGTTTTCTTAAAGAGCTACTCTCCGAATCTCTGATCTAAGGATCTAATCCACAAGGAGATGTAGCAATGTTAAGTCTGATCCACAAGGCAGTGGAGCATCGTAAAGAGATACAGTCCCATGGTCGCCGGTGACCAACGATTGGTTCCTATACCATTCGTTAGATCAGTACCCTGGAGCCTATGTGCACCATTGGTTTGGAATCAGAGTTATCCAACTCCTTTAGGTGGATCCTCCATATCCACTAACCCTGTTAAAGCACTAGACATTGGCATTTCGTCCTTTCAATTTCGTCAACAACAGTAATGTCGTGAGAAGGCAGTGAGTAGTACTTCCCTGGCATTGGTTGTATTTACGTGGAGAGAGAGAGAGAGAGCTGACCCTCATTAAGGTGAATTAAGTTAATTCTTTTAGAAATATTGAATATCATATTTCCTATTTAATCATGGCTAAATCCTACCTGATAAAACGTGCGGTTTAATATACTTTTTTTATTCTCTCGGACGTCTGTTACGATGATGAGTTAATACGTAAATAAAACTAATCACGTTATATTAGAGCCAGGCTTCACGACCCAAAAGTGAAGAATCCGATTAACACTAAGGAATACTTTGCTTCCCACAATTACAAGTAGTCACACACTCTGAGTCCAAAGGAGAAATTAATAATAAGAAGGAAAACCATATATTTAATAGTCCGTAGTCTATGACTATTTGTTCAGGCTCAACGATTAATCATACTTTATCTTCATTACCACATATCACTACCAACGAAATTACATTTTGCGCCAATTATCAAAAAGAATGAATATTATGACTCAATTCGTTTGACTAGAGGCTTGTCAATGGTGATTATAGTATATAAGACTTAAATATTCAAAGCCATGTATAGAATGAATTGGATCTCACCTTTTACATAAGATGGATCTTATAGGATTGGAAGTCAATAATTGTATTCTTTGTTTAAGAAACAAGTGCTAAATGCCTTTGTTTCTCTTAATTGGTCACAGTAATTAATAATTATGAAAGCCAAGTAGACTATCTTAATAATACTTACTACCCATTTTATTTTTGTTTCTGGCGAGATTATAATTTATGGACGAGCCAATCAGAAGAGTTTGAGGAATTTTAAGGTTACGGCGCCAATTTCAGTACCTGATACGATCGGTTCACAGTGGATTTTAGAGAAAAAGTAATAAATGAACGACTACAACAAATGAGACTACTAAGTAGTTCTTTTATTTGTGATTGTGGTAGTCAAATAACTTGTGGACCTCTTTCAGACTACCGTGATGATGTTGTCTTTCAATGTATTATGTGTAGGAGAAAGAAGTCTGCTATAATAGGATTTTTCACCTCGATCCAGACTGAGACTAAGGCAAAGTATGACAATTGTCGCAAACTGTATAATAAAAGTACCAGTAACACTGACTGCAACCAGGTACTACAATATATACAGATGATTGATGACTAATAGATGCCTACAAAGACTTGGTTATTTTCATCTTGTCGTTATCCACAAGCAGTATTTTATGGACCAAACAACCTAAATGCTCACAAACAATATTGATTCTATATGGTAGAGACTGGAAGAGCTGATAATCATACTATAATCAACAAGATGAAGATTGTTCATCTATAAATGACTATTGAGCGTTTCTTTTCAATTCATTAACTTCAACATATGGATGAAAGTTAATTTTTATAGATCAGAAGGGGTTTTGTGAAGATTTCAATACTTTCATAGTTGAAAGCGTGAGTCAATTGAAGCAGGACCACCATGGAAAACCTGGAAGCACTGGACGGCCATTTCGTTCTATTATGGGACTTAGCAGTGCGCATCCACGATCCCGCACTCGCGAGATTTGAACCCAGGAACTACCAGTCTTGCGCCAGAGCACTTAAATGATAGACCACTGAGCCGGTTGGCATCCAACGGAGTTAATGTCTAACTTCAACCAATCCACGATTTTGAGCAACCGTTCACCAATTGTCTGAGACTCGTAGTTCCTGGGTTCGAATCTCGCGAGTGCGGGATTGTGGATGCGCACTGCCACTGAGGAGTCCCATAAAAGGACGAAACGGTCGTCCAGTGCTTCCAGATTTTCCATAGTTGTCTAGCTTCAATTGACTCATGGTTTCAACTAGGAAAGTTAATTTGTTTGAAAATGTCATTTTCCTAATCATTTTAAAGACTGAATAAATTTAAGAACTGAATTTAATCTAAAAATAAATAAATAGTACCAATATTGTTTATCTTACTTGGACTTTCATTGCTTCCAATCAATAATTCACAAAAATTTCTTTGAGGTAACCATCTTGTTAATAAATGCCCAACTGGACCATAACCACTAGCACATAAAGAAGGTGATAGTACTTCAGTTATCAAAGGTTTAAGTGAGTATTCATCTCTTATTGAGTTGGACAAAGAGTCGATACTATTTTCATCGATTTCACAATCATCATCACTATCAGTCGTATTTTCTTCTTCTTCTTCCTCCTCTACAAAGTCAGTCGTTGCATTTGTTGAATCACCATAATAATGTTTACCGTTTTTCATACCTTCAATAAGATCAGAAAGTGGATGATCCCTTTCATGACGTATATCATGTGTTTTGTTTGTTTCAAGGTAACATTCCATACTATCACGTCTCAAAAGCTATGATGATATTACAAGATAAAGAGACATATTTAAATTTTAATGCATTAAAATAGAAACTTTTTAGAAAGAGTTTTTTGTAAAGATTGTAGTAGTTTTAATAGTTTAATTCATGAGTCAACTAAAGTTAGACCACTATGGAAAAACCTGGAAGTATTTGACAGCCATTTCGTTCTAGTATGAGACTCCAAGTTGGTCTACCTATAATCTACTCATGAATTGAACTAATAAAAGAAACTTTTCACAATTGATTGATCGCTGGGTGGTGATCAATGTCATGCATGTCAAGTCCTTCTTAGTGCTGATCGAATGCTATCGATCAAGTTGCATTATGGTCACTAGTCTAAGTGGCCAAACAAACGTTTTGTGAAATTTGAAAACCAAATAGAATTCATTATGAAGAACCAAATTAATTTTTATTTACAAAGGTTGACAAATGTAAAGTTAAACGTGTAAAATTAAAGTCGGAATACACACTTTCTAGACACTTCTAGGTATGAACTTGTTAGGTTCCATAAAATATGGAATGCCTTATGTATCTATAATCAGTTCATAAATATACAAAATAAGCTAATTAAGATCGTAGGACTTGAACTAGTTAGAAACTAAACAGCTCAGTTAGTATATATCTGAATGAATAAGTAGTGTATTAATGACGGCAATCCAAATATATTGAATACAGTGTCCCGTGGATATTTTAGTAACTTCTTATTTGGCTACTTATGAGTAGTTCAAAACATTTAGTTTCTTTTTTCGCCAGAGTCAGACAAATCATTCATAGCAATTGTCAAACATTGTGTTCAGTATGAAATTAACAGGAAATAACTACTGTAATTCCATGATACCTCAGCCAAATATTTTCAATTCTTTCCTGTTTAGTTTTGATTTTTTACACTAATGTCAACAAATTACTTGTTGATCAGAAGGGGTTTTGTGGAGAATTAAGTATTTTCATAGTTGAAATCATGAGTCTAGTGGGAAGCAGTGACCAGTGGAGTTCTACCAAGTCTGTTGTAGAGATATCAACTCACTGAAGACGATTGGTGAACGATTACTCAAACATTGTGGATTGGTTGAATTTAGACATTACCAATGTTGGATGCCCGCTCACTGGTCTATCGGTTTGAAAATGCATGAACAATAATAGGTAGAGACGATGAACTGATATCAACAGAAGGAAGGGTCAAGATTGAGTCAATTGATTGACAGTCTGCAAATTAACTATTTACTCTATGACCTCATGTAGTATTGTTTGTTTGAACGCTGCAACTGGTCGGTCTCTAATTGACATATGTGCATACTGTACGTATTGCCTCAATATAGCCTCTATTCACAAGCATTGTAAGCAAAGATGGATAGTGGCTAGCGATGGCGTTTGAAGCCAACGGTAGTGGGCTCGATTCCCAGGGTGAACATCAACTCTGTGATGCAGCTACATCCAGATGACGTGTCCCAAATAGGATAAAACGCTCGTCCTGGGTTCCACTGCTAGTCACTATCCATCTTTGCTTTCAATGTTTGTGATTTCATACAACATCGAAGCAGTTTGCATAGGATGCATATATGTAGTCCAATATAACAATAAGAATATACATATAAAAATAAGAATAAATGAATTCAATTTCGTACTTTTGAATGAAATCTTGGAGTTGATGACTTTGAATCTTCAAATATTTGTTCATTATCTTCATCATCATCATTATCATCATCTTCTTGTATATCTTTTATATCATTATTAACAATCATAATATCATCATTCATTTGATGATCAGCTGATATATTCACTTCATTTAAAGTCACCATGAAATCTTCATGATCTTTTAAATCTTCATGATTATCTTTATGTTTTATAGAATAATCCAAATAGTTCTTATTTAATCCATTTGATCGTTTAAATTCAGGTGAATATTGACTATATTCAATTTTAAGTCCAGGTGATATTTTACTATTTGAATTAGAATATTCCAATTTACTTAGTAACCATTCATTATGATCTGTTTTATTTATTAGTTTAATATTCATCATTGTATTGGATAGATCTGATGAATGTAAATATACTAAATGTTTCATTTCATCATTTGGTGTTGATGGTGGTGTTAATGAAAATGAATTAGAATTTAAAGGATTTGATGATCGGACAACTTGTTCATGTTCATTGATTGATCGATGAACACTAAATGATTATAAACAAAAGATAAGAAGAAATTAAGGTTGTAAACATTAAAACAAAATTTAAACTTGTAGTTTATTCAACAACAACAACAACAACAACAAAAAATATTTTGTAGATAGATCCAGCTGATGAGTCTTAAATAAGACGAAACGAATAATTTGGATTCCAGTGTTAACTACTATATTACTTTACTTACGCCTGTTACCCCTCGTCGAGGAGCATAGGCCGCTCACCAGCATTCTCCATCCAACTCTGTCCTGAGCCTTCCTTTCCAGTTCTTTCCAGTTGCTATTCATCCTTTTCATATCTGCTTCTATTTCCCGGCGTAATGTGTTCTTTGGCCTTCTTCTTTTCCGCTTCCCTTCCGGATTCCAAGTTAGGGATTGAGTCGTGATGCACATTGGTGATTTCCTTAATGTATGTCCGATCCACTTCCAACGTCTTTTCCTTATTTCCTCTTCAGCTGGAAGCTGGTTTGTCCTCTCCCATAAAACGCTGTTGATGATAGTATCCGGCCAATGGATGTTGAGTATTTTGCGTAAACAACTGTTTATAAATACTTGTACCTTCCTGATGATGGCCGTAGTAGTTCTCCACGTTTCAGCTCCATACAGTAGGACTGTCTTGACGTTCGTATTAAAGATTCTGACCTTGAAATTGGTTGAGAGTTGTTTTGAGTTCCATATGTTCTGCAATTGTAGAAATGCTGCCCTAACTACTATATGTCATTGTTTAAAAAGTAATTTTATAAAAGTCAGTTAAATATTATTACACTTATCAAGACAATTATTGTTAATGGAAATATACTTATCACATCATTATTTCTATTGTGTTAATATTCACAAACTTTATACTCATCAGTTATCTTGGTTAAAATCGACTAGTACAACAACTTAACCCAATTCATTTCAGCAGTGATCATCCACGATCTCACATACGGTGTTAGAACATAAGATCATTACTCTTGCTCGTGAACGCTTAACCTCTAACCCACTGAGCCGGTATCCAACGGTCTTAATGTCTAACTTTCATTCATCCGTGAATGGCTGCTCAGCCATATACCCATATTACCTACTATTTTATTAAGTAGTATGATAGATATGTTGAAAAAAGCAAATAAAAGAGAGATGCAGACTACACACTGATAGTCGTAATGTGATTAATTCCCAACTCAAGTCAATTAATATAATTACTTATTGATATTTTGCTAAAATCTGTCTGCTTCTTCTGCTATCATATTGTCTGATCTAAGCCATGTTATTAGATGCAGACTAATTAGTTAGCGTCCGCGTGACTATCGTAACCAATGGTTGGAGACTCTGGGTGACATGGCTCAGAATCGATCACAATGACGTAGGTGTATACACTCTTTGTCTGCCCTTAAACCATGAGATTAAAATTGCTTTACACCTATTTCCTACGAACTAATTCTTTCATTCCTGTATTAAATCCTTATACACAATCTTTCTTTTATATATTATAGTATTCAAATGAAGTAACTACTTCTTTGAATTTGATGATCATCTTGTTATGCTAATGAGGTATGACAACTTGGACTGATGCATATATATGTATGATCTTGCATTGCAGCTAACTGACTATTGTCTATAAATATATTATAATCTACTAGTTACCTAGGATACTACCCTAGATACTACCCTTAGCTCAAGGTCTGGAAAGTCGGAAAAATAAAAATTTTGCAAATGCGATAAAAATGATCTTGGTGGTCTTATATTGCTATTCCGACACCAGACAATGAGTTTTAAACGTTTTTTATGCCGTAATGTTTCAGGCTAGGCTGTTTCGCTTTGCTAACCTACATATGTGTTGTATGCATTATAAGCTATATTACCATGTAGAACTGAACGTCTTATGTGAGACTGGAGGTTCTCCATTGACATGGTGGTTGGTTCGGCATTGCTTTGGAAAGTTTTGCTGACTATTCATGTGAAAAGATGGTTTTCAAGTTAACTAATTTCATTCATACTGATGGTTGCTATTCAGTGTTCTCATGGGCTATTGTCATCGGAGCATTGTAAGCCATATCACCATTGCTAACAGTAATGAATTTGACTGTCGTGTAAGCGGACTGGGTCAACTTTGGCCTGTTCACGCTATGCATAATTGATTTACACAATCTCTGGTCGGAACAATTGTCACGTAAAAGTCTGAATGGTGTCTCATTCTCCTGGAAACCAATGCAAAATTACCCTTACCCAAAAGGGTATATTATGTAACTGTAAACTAGTTACCTATGGGAGAAGACAAACCAGCTTCCAACTGAAAAGGAAATTAGAAAAAGACGTTGGAAATGGACAAGACATACATTAAGAAAATCACCAATGTGCATTACAAGGCAATCCCTAACTTGGAATCCAGGAGGGAAGCGGAAAAGTGGAAGGCCAAAGAACACATAAAGCCGAGAAATAGAAGCAAATATGAAAAGGGTGAATAACAACTGAAAAGAACTAGAAAGGATTGCGCAGGACAGGGATGGATGGAGAATGCTGGTGAGCGACCTATGCTTCTCCATGAGGGGTAACAGACGTAAGTAAGTAAGCAAATCATATTCATGGACTACTATTTTAGTGAACAAAAACACAAATGGGAACAATCGAATCTGATAACCATACAGAACCATACAAAGAATGATTAGTGTGGAAGTGAAGGAACAATAAAGTCTGAGACAGTTGACTGATGTTTCTTTGATCTGCTTAACTTTGTGCCATCAGACATTTCACTTTCGATTAATGATACATACTACTTATATCTATGGATATCAGTAGCACACACTACGCTTTTACTATTGAATACTTTTTTCTGGTTAGGATTGCCCGAGACAGAGTTGGATGGAGAATGTTGATGGGCGGCCTATGTTCCTCTACGAGGGATAACAGGCATAAGTAAGTAAGTAGGTTACCTATTAGTATATTGTTATATATTCATCATTCATAATTCATCATTTAAACAAAACAAAAAATTTATCCATTTTATGCTTACCTACTATTTCTACTACCTTTTAATGCACTACGTATTGGTTTTTTAGTTAAATCTGGTACACTAGCAAATGTATTTAATTTAAGTATAAAACGCATTTTAGGTGATTGATTTAAATCTAAATAATTTTGACTTTTTGATTCATATTTTGATGAAATTAAATTACTAGTCATTATAAGTTTATCATTTAATTGCATTGGATTATACGGAGGATGTTGAGGATGAGGAGGAGGAAGAGGCGACGGATGAGCAGCACGAGGAGGATATTGATGATGATTGCGTAATAGACGTTGTTTTCTATTTGATAATGATGTAATTTGAAATTGATGATGTTGTCCATATTCTGATGAATATTTATGTTCATACAACTTCGTATTATTTCGTAATTCATTTGAATCTATTTTAATTGGTTTAGATATTACTGTTTTATCAGTAGTAAGTAGTTTATTAGTAGTATGTTGATAGGCAACATTATTTTGTAAATTATCATCATTTGATTGTATACTATATTTCTTCTGCTGGTCATTTAAAATATTTGAATTTAAATTTGGTGGTTCATTGTCTAAACCTTTAAAAAAAACAAAGAAAGAAGATATTATTTATATCATATACTACTAGTCAATAGTAAACTCCAACTGTAGCTCCTCCGTGGACTACTGCCGGTCCCAAACCCGGATAAAGAAGGAGGGTTGAGCATGGGGTTATCGACCCCATCCTGTAGAAAAACAAAATCGCTAAAAAGAAAACGCTAACCAGAAAAAAGTATTCAATAGTAAAAGCGTAGTGTGTGCTACTGATATCCATAGATATAAGTAGTATGTGAAATGTCTGATGTCAAAAAGTTAAGTAGATAAAAGAAACATCAGTCAACTGTCTCAGACTTTATTGTTCCTTCACTTCCACACTAATCATTCTTTGTATGGTTCTGTATGGTTATCAGATTCGATTGTTCCCATTTGTGTTTTTGTTCACTAAAATAGTAGTCCATGAATATGATTTGCTTACTTACTTACGTCTGTTACCCCTCGTGGAGAAGCATAGGCCGCTCACCAGCATTCTCCATCCAACCCTGTCCTGGACAGTCATGAACATGACTAGTCAAGCGCAACAAATTATATGATATCTCATCTTTACACGGTAAGAGATGTAAGCATGGTTGGTCTTTTGTTAGTTCTTGAATTCTTTATGTGACTTAAGTCACCGGCCAAATATCTCTTTGTAGCCCAGTCTAAATTAAGTACATGCGTAACAGTTGTCAACATTGTCATTCAGGTTCCCTGAATGCAGTCTCCTAAGCAGTCTTCATTTTCACCCTCCCTCCCTCTCTCTCTTTCTAAGAAAATAATATAGCACAAACCCTTACGATTGATGGTCTTGAGGGCGGTTATCACTTCTCAGTTGCCAACACCGTGGAAATGTTCTTCTGGAGGTACTTGAAAAGGAAATCGGGTTAGAAGTGGTCTTAATGACCTAAGAGCGTGACCGCAGTGCCCAAAGGACAACTGCCTGGGGTCGGTCACACACGACCTTTTTGTGGGTAGTTTTTGTGTTAGCTCCGTTCTTCAAAGGACCTTACCACCGAAGACGGATATCCGTGGGATAAGGCGAGGTGTGCATTTTTAGGGTCGACCTTTTCTAACTCCACCTTTTCTTGTGGGAAGGCAGTATCGCTGTTATGCTGGTTGTCTGAAAGAAAAACCTTACTGCTGTCACACCTCTGTACGGTCGGCAGTACGACTTCGCCTTCGGACCTTGGGTTTGCTGCTTTTAGTTTTACCACTCTTCAATCGACATGCCTGGCATATTAGAACATACAGGAACATATGTTCTGGCCAATATAGCTCGATTGGTTCATCACCATAGGTAATCCCGGCCACCACGTCAAGGTAGCAGCAACGGTCGGGTATGATTGATGGATCAGTCATAGGACGAAACCTAATTATAGTCTTCACTATTAATCATTATTGAAAACATAGAAATGATGTATCAGCTTACTTTTTGATTTTTTGAATAATCGATGCCAGAAACCGGTATAGATCATTGATTCATTTAACTTTGTATTTAAATCATCCAACTTTGTATTATCTCCAATGATTGTACTTTCTTGTCGTAATAACTGATCAGAATGTTCTGTATTCATGAAATGACTATTAACTATAGGGAATAAATAATAAAAAAGCATCGAAATAATGGTTAGGAATTAATTTATAAGATATAGAATTAGGTATATTAGATATCAGAAAGGAATTTTTGTGGAGATTTCAGTATTTTGATTATTGAAAGCATCAGTCAATTGAAGCTAGACCACCAGAGAAAACCTGGAAGCACTGGATGGCCGTTTCGTCCTATTATGGTACTCCTCAGTGGCAGTGCGCATCCACGACCTTACCTCACTAGATTCGAACCGAGGACCTACCAGTCTCGCGCTAGAGCACTTAACCCATAGACCACTGAGCCGGCATCCGATGGTGTATATAATGTATATCAATATCTCATCTCAGCCTATACATTCTACATCCATATGATATATGAAGTAATAAAACTATAGTAATTATAGTAAAATAATGAAGTTGCCGCCTAAAGAAGAAAGAACAAATATGAACTATGTAGAGTCTCTATCTGTATCACTCGGTATTGTTAATTGGAATCTCATGGACCATATGAGTCACCCTTAAGACTGTAAATACCCCTTATTGATTAGTACTAACGGCGAGATTATAATTTACGGACGACCTTTGAACGAATCTAATGTGACCTCGAGAAATATTAGCCAATCAGGAAACAATTAGTACATAGCAAAAATATATAAAAAACCAAAGAATTAGAATAGATACATTTCTTCTACATAGTTCAAAAACTTGTCAAGGTTAGAAAGAGGTTCAAAGGTTCTAAAGTTGCAATGCATAAGGTAGAGGAACTCATTCTTGTAGCCCCATAATAGTCGGTTTATGGAACTATGATAAGGTTACAAAAACTCTCTCAGCCTCGACAACATAGCTTCAGTATTGTTTGGGTGTACTCCGGTTGTGTAAGTTTGTCACTTTAATAAAGCTTATTTGCATACAATATTCATACCACTGAACAACCGAAGCTTCAGTAACATCTGCGAATATTTCGACCAATGTTACTGGTGCTTTTATTATACAGTTAGCGGGAATTAATATAATTTGCCTTAGTCTCGATCTGGATCGAGCAAAAAAGGTCCCTGTTCCAGGGGACTTCTTCCTTCAACATATATTACATCGAAGGACAACATCATGGTAGTCTGCACAAATTCTACGAGTCATTTGATTACCGCAATTACAAATAAACGAAATTCTTAGCATTCCCATTTATTGTAGCCACTTAATCATCACAACTTATCTAAAATCCTATATGAACCATACGTACATGAGCACTAGGTACTGAAATCGGCGCCGTGACCATGAGATTCCTCAAACGCTTCTGATCGGCTCGTCTATAAATTATAGTGTCACTGGGCCAACTATCAAGAAACCCTAAGTTCAAGGATACATATTAATTATTGTTACTCAACTAAAAGTAAACTAGAAAATAAATAAATCTAACAATCAATTCAACATTATATAGTTGAAATCATGAGTCAATTAAAGCTAGACTACCAGGGAAAACCTGGAAGCATTATACAACCGTTTCATCCTATTTTGGGACTCCTCAGTAGCAGTGCGTATCCACGATCCCGCTTCGCGAGATTCGAACCCAAGACCTACCAGTCTCGCGCCAGAGCAATTATATTGATCTAAGTAGATCCGATTCATGGTTAGCCATGAGTTAGTGTATTCAATTTATAATATACTTCGTTTATAAACAAATTACTTAATCTTTAAATCTGACAAAGATAGTACAGTATTACTTATAATAATGATTCTATTTGAACAAACAATAAATTATTCTTTCATTAAAAACTAAAATCTACCAAGATATAACTGATATAAAGCCAGTCACTATGTGATCTATGATCTACACTTTGATGAAGTGAACTAATATAAATGAGAATAATACACACTGTTTGAAGTGGTAAAGACTTCAACGTTTTTTTAGTGAGTTAGTTTTCTACGGATATGGGGTCGCTAACTGCCCAACATAGATATAACGCACTTAGGAATGTTCCTAGTGAGTTATTGGGTACTTAAAATACTGATACCTGCTTGTTTCCAAGGATACATTAATGTGGGAGTTTTACTGGTTAATTCCTATCGTTGAAGATCAAGTTAATAAAAAGGAGGAGGAAATTTTGAAAAAAAAGACCAAACAAGAAAATATCACTGTTAGTAAAAATGGTTAGTGGCTAGCAGTGGAATCCAGTTTGACGCCTGTTTCATCCTATTTGGGACTCGTCAGTTGGATGTACCTGCCACATCTCAGCGTTGATGTTTATTCTGGGACTCGAACCCAGTACTGTTCGCTTCCATCGCATTATCCACTCAGCTACTGAGTCCTGATAGCTATTTGTTTGTGCAATGGGGTGAAGTTTAAATTCACTTAGTATTGTTTGTTTGAATCTTCCCATTGAGTGGATAAAGCGATGACGTTTGAAGCGAACACTACGGGGTTCGAGTCCCAGAGTGAACATCAATTTTGAGATGTAGGTTCATCCTGCTAATGAATCCCAAATAGGATGAAACGTGCATTATGGATTCCACTGCTAGTCAGTATCCATCATTGCTTATAATGCTTGTGAATTAAAGCTATATTGAGACAGTCCGCATAGGATGAATATATGGCTAATAATAGAATAATTATTTGCAATCCTAAACATCAATGGAAAGATTCAAACAAACAATACTATGGAAATGAACAAAAATATCATTCTGATCTGCTTTTGTTATATCCGGTTGAGAATTAGGAATGGAAACTTTTGTGAACTAGATATGGACAAATATAATTATTCAGTAGTTAGATAATGTATATCTATACTCTTTTCATTATAAGGTTTATTTTGACCCATTGACTTCTGTTATACAATTTACTGTTCTTACATTCTATCCAGTCTATTAGTGACAGTCTCCAACATTCACAGCCACTTTTGGTTTGATCTTGTACAAATGTTTTTTTTTCTTATTTCATGATATGATATGGTCTATTTGACTGGTAATATAAACCGAGTATACTTGAAATACATGATTTATATCACAGAGGCTGAGATTGATATTCTGAACTCTAACAGATAAGGTTAGACCATAAGTAGGATCGACAAGGATTTTCAATTGATATTCAATGGTTAACAGTACAGTTATTAGCACAAATTTGAAGTATAAATTGAGAGAGAAAAAGAAAGAGAGCAAATGAAACATCATTGTAAATGACATTCAAATTCAATCCAAATTATTACCTAACTGTAATCATATAGCACATTGTAATTACTTTAAAGGTAATGTGGTATGGCAACTCGAACTGATGTACGTACGTACGAAGTTCTACGTTGTGACTGACTGACTGACTGAATTACTTTAAAGGAATAGATAAAAGTGAATTCATTCAATCATATTAGATCTCTTGAAGATGACCTTAACTATTATTCAAGATTATTATGATCATCTAGATGTTAAGGTCAATAAAGAAAGAAAAGAAGGAAAATTTATGCAAATTAAACATTCATGATTATTCTAATGTAAATATAATTGGTAATGCTCTTTTAATAAGGTGAATGAATAACTCATATTAAAATCGTAAACAAAGATGGATAGTGGCTAGCAGTGGAATCCAGGACGCGCGCCACCTCCTATTTGGGACTCGTCAGCTGGATGTACCTACCGCATCTCAGAGTTGATGTTCATTCTGGGATTCGAACCCAGTACCTTTTGACTTCAAATACCATCGCGTTATCCACTCGGCCACTGAGTTCTGATAGCCACATGCTTGTGCAATATATATTTATATTCACCAGAGATCTTATTTATTTATATCTTGTTTGGGTTGTAGGGATCGTTGTTTGGACCCTATACACTGACCAAATCAGTTTGACAAAATTAAACATTTAATCAACTAAATGAATAGTATGAATATAAGAAAAAATTTATTTGATTAATCTCCGTAATGTGCTAAGGTGAAACGACTGAATTAGTTATTTGCTCAAATTGTATACTTCAATAAAATCAGTTGAAAGCTTGGGTTTTTTTAATCTCATTCTATTAGCTTTTGTAAGCCTATGAGATATAATCACTAGTCCTACTTTGAAGATAATCAATCTTAATCAATAACTCCTCCTACATCCCCTCTGGGGGGTTACTGCCGGTCTCAAGCCCGGATAATTTAGGAGGGTTGGGCATGGAATTAGCCATACCATCCAGTAGAAAACTAACTCGCCAAAAAAACGCTAACCATAAAAATGTTAATCAATTCGTAACTGAATTGAATTTCATCCGTAAGTCTGATACTTAGAAGTTATTGAATGATAATCATTAACCAAAATAACAATACTGTTTAGTTGATATCGTACGTTCTTAAAGTCGTTCAACTAATATAACAGTATAAGACGGCCATACTTACTATTTAAAAGTGAAAGAAATTTTAACTGATAACATTACTGTAGTGTTAGTTGGAAGGGAAGCGGAAAAGAGGAAGGCCAAAGAACACAATACGTCGGGAAATAGAAGTAGATATGAAAAAGATGAATAACAACTGGAAAGAATTGCCCAGTACAGAGTTGAATGGAGAATGCTGGTGAGCGGCCTATGCTCCTCCACGAGGGGTAACAAGCGTAAGTAAGTTAGTTGGTTACTATTTTAACTCCCTATAACTTATTCTAGCTTCTGGACAAGTAATCTATTCATTCTTTTTAAATCACATTTAAACCTTTCCAATTATTCGCTTATCAACGTTGACTGTTCTTATATGAGTGTATATGTGTAAACTTTTTATTCTACTCATTACTTATCTATAGCATGTTTTTGTGTGACTATAAATATTGATTAATGCTTGATTCAATCGAGGTGGCTCACTTGCCTTCTCTAATCTACTTCGCACTTCCCTCTTTGTTTCGTATCTTTGATTGCCTGTTCAAATCATTGAGTGTGTGAAATATAAATATTCAAAATCCATACTGGTTTTTGATTGTGATCATGAATGGTGGATGAATGTTAGACCACTATTGAAAACCTGGAAGCACTGAACGGACGTTTCATCCTGATATGGGA